CAACCCTTTAAATCTCCCACCAGAAGGCATTTTCTCCTGTTTTTGAAACATTTCTGCATTTCCTCTCTACCCTCTTCAGTAGCTCCACTGTGTCTTTCTGAAAACGTGGACTGCAGAGTTCATGCAGTACTCCAGCTTTGTCCTCTCCAAATTATATCAGAAAGATCACCTCTCTTCTCCCCTCACTGGCCATTCAGCAATCCTGTTGGGTTTTATGCTGAACCATCCTATTCTGAGTTACTGTTTTGTTGCTCGTCTAGTATGAATTCTCCATATTTTTAAGTCTCTGCTTTCAGTTATTCAGTTTTGTGGATTTCATCATTGTTTCTAGAAAGGTAATTTAGGATTGGGCTGTATTAAAGCACCCTATTTCTAATAACCTAGTTTACTAAGCAATCTTTTCCGTCTCCAGAGTGTTCCTTCTGTTGTTTACCATTGACTTATCAATAAACGCTTCCAGGAGTAATATCACACAAACTTCTGGACTGTTAATACAAAAACTATTAATTGTTCATCTGCTACCAGCTGTTGTGGAATCAGAGAAGAAACATCCCATGTCAGCTTTGTATTGTTTTGCATAAGGGTGACAGCAGGGGAAGGGGTCTGTTTTGTTACTTTCTATAATATTCTTTAACCGTGCTAAGTGCAAGGTCCTACACCTGGGTCGGAGCAATCCCAGGCACAGCTACAGGTTGGGCAGAGAAGAGATTCAGAGAAGGCCTGTGGAGAAGGACTTGGGGGTGCTGGTCAATGAGAAAATGAACATGAGCCGGCTCCAGTGTGCGCTTGCAGCCCAGAAAGCCAACCGTATCCTGGGCTGCATCAAAGGAGCGTGACCAGCAGGTTGAAGGAGGTGATCCTGTCCCTCTACTCTGCTCTCGTGAGACCTCACCCGGAGTATTGTGTGCAGTTCTGATGTCCTCAACATAAAAAGGACATGGAACTGGTGGAACAAGTCCAGAGGAGGGCCACGAGAATGATCAGGGGACTGGAGCACCTCCCATATGAAGACAGGCTGAGAAAGCTGGGGTTGTTCAGGCTGGAGAAGAGAAGGCTGCATGGAGACCTCATAGCAGCCTTCAGTATCTGAAAGGGGCCTATAAGGGTGCTGGGGAGGGACTCTTCATTAGGGACTGTAGTGACAGGACAGGGGGCAATGGGTTATAACTTACACAGGGGAAGCTTAGATTGGATATAAAGAGGAAGTTCTTTACTGTAAGGGTGGTGAGGCAGTGGAATGGGTTGCCCAGGGAAGTTGTGAATGCTCCATCCCTGTCTGTGTTCAAGGCCAGGTTGGACAGAGCCTCGGATGATATGGTTTAGTGTGATGTGTCCCTGCCCATGGCAGGGGGTTGGAACTTGATGATCTTAAGGTCCTTTCAAACCCTAACTATTCTATGATTCTATGACTCTATGATACTATGTCAGAACTTGTTCAAAATTATCATCAATGTACTGAATATTTCTCCAATTTTTCTTAGGAATTCTTACATTCTAGTAACCCAATGCTGATGATTTCAGAATGTTTATAATTAGTTTTATTGTTCAACACCCTCTTTGATTACTAATGGGGAATCCTCTTTAATATCTTTATGAGATACAAGTATGGTGAACATTTTTTCACCTTGGAACGGTTAACTCACCTAAAGGCATTGGTTTTGAATGTATTCAAGTATCTGGAATGAACTGGAACAGTGGTAAGACAAACAGGTATGGCAGGATTTAAATGTTATACCAAAACCAGAAAGGAGTTTTGCTTTCTTATGTTTTTATGTCTATATATCAGTCACCCATGAAATAAGAAAGGAAAGCTCAAACCTCCTCCTTTTTGTCTAGGAATAAGAATGTGACCCTGGTTTGTTTGTCTCTCAGTAAAAGGCTTAAGCACAGAAATAAAGGAATTCTGGACTGAACATCTTCTTCCAAGTTATACCTACTTAAACAAAGGGCTACTGAGAGCAAATGAAAATGGACTTTAATAGGTTCTTTATGTATATGCTGAAAATTAATTTAAAAAACCTGTTTGGATTTATCTGAAATTAAATATATTGCTTTGGTTGTCAAAAAATGAAAAAAGCCCACAATTATTCATACAATACACACATAAATATATAATTTTTCTTTTTCCGATTCAAGACAGAAATATTTATTAAGTCTACTCTTTCACATCATTGTGAGCAGTTTTACCACCTCATCTTTCTGAAAGTTCTGCAATAGATGTGGATTATTTTGTGTAAAAGTTAAAAATGCTGTCCTGTTTATAGCTCTGTTTGGTACACATTTTTGCTTTGTTCCTCCTGCTGCTTATATGAATTTTCTGCACTTTATAGGTTCTACTGGGATATATATAGCTTAGATCTGTATCATGTTTGTCAACACAAAGTCTTACATTAGTAATGTTATTTTGGATGCTCCATCTAGTCTTCAACCAAGGCAGTACGTGTCCCACCTGTGAGATGGAGCCCTCTCTGTGCAGCTCCTTTGTCTAATTGAATGGGGTCCCAATGTCCCAGTTTTCCACAGCAGAAAAATCTGCATCTTCAAATATATTTTGTTGAAACTAGCATTTCAACATCAGTGTTTTCTGCTTTCTACTATTGCTTTTGGAGCCAGAAAGATTTCCCAGATCATGATTATTGCCATCTTCACAACCATGGCACCATCCTCTCATCTGTTATTTCATTTTATTCCTTATTCCAGTGACTACAGCATTATTATAAGGATTTACTGAAGGACTTCATAATGCTTCCCAGTCTTGGTATGGTCAACCTGTGGTCTGCTCTTCAGCAGAGTAACTGAAAAAAAAAGTCCACAGCTGATCTGAAGCAATATACAGCAGAATTCCTAGCCTGTGTTTATACTGTTAATTAAAAGAGGTTCAGGATCTAATCTCTTCCCAAGTGTCCAATGGCAGCAGTTGGTGAGGTCTACACTGTTTAGGGCTTTTCCTTTTTGGGGGCAGATTTGTCTTTAAATCACCTTCAAACATATTCTCACAACAGCTGAGCAGTGTAAACCTTCAATATGAGGTTTTCCAGGGCCAAAAAACCCCAGCCATGCTGTGCCTAACAATTAGAATACATACAATTCTTTAAAGACAACTAAAATCCTAGGAAGCTTGCTATTTATTTAGTTACATGATCTTCCTTTTTACAGGGTGTGATTTAGACAACTCAAAATTCAGACCCTAAAATGTTTCTGCTGAACCTGCTTCATATTATTTGGTCATCTATGGTTTAGATATTCCCATGGTCAGCACTTGTCTAAATGTCGTTGCTGAATTCCATTGCTTCAGTGGCAAGAAAAGTCTTCACATAGGCAAACCTGATAGGATACAGCATTAAGTTATCCTCAAAACAGGAGACTTTCCGCTGTACCCCAGTCAAAGGCACACGGATCTGAGACACTCTCTTAGCTGCTGAGGTCTCACAGAGTAGCAACAAGCATCTTCTGTAGCTGACGAATCCGGGAGCCAAGCTGAGGCGAGGAGCCCAGCATTCCCAGCCAGCACTTCTAGGTGATTTCCTCAGCCTGGGAGGCCAGATGCTTGAAGCTAGAGGTTGTGGATGATTTAAAACAAAAAAAAACCCAACAAAAACCAACAACAAAAAAAAAAAAAACCAAACCAACGAACAAAAAAAAATCACAAGAAAAGGACAACTAACTTGCATTTCAACAGACCTTTTATCCTGGAATGGCTCCACATTCAGGCACTGACAGCTTCCTTCATGCTGTACTACAGAAGGAAAAATGGATTAGATAATATTGACAATCAGTTCCTATTCAAATGCCCATTTAACTGAAAGGAATACTTCACAGAGAACAATATTTAGTATAAAAAACCTCACCTTTCTCTATTATTATGTAATGTAATAGCCATAAATGTGTGTCCTTCTTAACTAAATAAGACAGTTATATACCACCTTGCTTCTCATGACATTTATCAGAAAAAGCTACTCAGTGCAGTCCAGTACTGTGTTAGCAAAATGAGAGGAGCACTTATACCTTCACATTAGTTAACATGTCAAAAGCTTTTTATCTCAAAGATATTCAATGGTAAGAACAGTGTATTTCAACTTCCAAATTGTCATACATCAAAGATTTTAGAGGACTTCTTTTTTAAATTGACAGTTGTCATTTAATATACAGTATGATCCAAAGCATATTATTTCTGAATGTTACCAGGGAGATTTCATTGGCTTTTGTGACATTTCCAGTCTTTGGTATAATTGGCTAACAGCTTTTTTAACCTAATGTCTTTTAAAAAATTGTGTATCTGGTGGTCTGGGGTATCACATCTTCTGTTTTCTCTTTTCTTTGTTGTCCAAAAATGTTACCATAATGATAAAAAGTGACATTATTTTAAGAGATAAGAAACACCAAAATTATTTTCTGTCTGACCTTTACAGTTACCAGAACAAGCGGCTTCTGTTAGCAAAATAGTTCAAGCTTTTTATTACAAAGGATATTTGGCAGTATTCCATAAGAAAAAAAAAAAAATACATGTAGTTCTTGTCAGGGGAAGTCATTAAGCCCTCTCTCCTTATGCCAGGCTAAGATTTTAACAAAAATAAAATTCTGGGTATTTTAAGATGAAGGAGAAAGTTGTCTCTGAGAGGCAGGGATATTTCACATAATGCTCTTTATGAATGTACTAATGTAGTTTTATGCCTTTGACTGCATTGCACTGAAACAAATACAGTGGGTTTACCTAAGAGTTCAAGGAGATTTTGGTGACCTTCATTTCCCAGCTGCACACTTATGCATTCAGAGTTTTCTTCTTCACCCTGGTCTGTTGTGTTATTGGAACAGCAGTGCTTCTTTAAGGGAGGTTGGGGGGTAAGACAGATAATGACTGAATGTCTCAATATGGCTAAATAACTATATTTACAGTTTTAAAAATACTAATGGCTACTCTTCAGCTGTACTGTTTTTTCCAGGTAAAGTCTTACAAATTAAATGTTAGCTCCACTCCATACCTCTCATTATTGATTTTACAGGTTACCACAGAACTTTAGAGGTGGAAGTACTTCAGTATTCAAAGACACATCCAGCACCGATCCTTTTAACTGCTGTTGTCATTGCTCTGGTTCTTCCACCCAAGTAAGGATGATATATGTCTTGTTTTCAGCTCACATGACAAAGATATGACACTGTTGTCACTGATTCTTAAGAAAAACTGTATGAGTCAAATTACAATAGCAACAAAAGTTAGAACAAAGCCCTCTTTCTTGTTGAAACAGTTTGCTGTTTACTGTCTTTTGCCTAGCTGGTGGTATAGTACATAGCCCGCAAACAGATGAAATACATTTTAGGTGCATGAAAGAAAAAATACTATTTAAAACCATAAGATTACTTTAGGAAAATAATTAGAGGCAGCTATCATCATTAACTCTGGAATACATAACTATTCCCATTCTTAATAAAATGTGATCCTTAATAAAAAGTGAATGCAGTTGCACGCCACAGTATTAAAGAATATATGAGTTAAATATCTTCCTGCTTCAAAGATGCGTGGCCTAAAACCTGAAAAATTACAGTATACGCAAATGATCATAAAGGACTGACTTTACTGACCATTTCTTTGTGTTTGGGGGATAGATTTCTGCATGGCATAATATTTCTACTTGCATTGGTTTCCTGGCATGAAAATGTTTATTGCACTCATTAGCTAAGAGGATGTCGGCACTGGTCCAATGAACACAGATCTGCCTTCTGATTTCAGCCATTAAATTGCAATGGGATTCACAGGCTTAACATTGTGGGTGTGAGAATAATAAAATGGAACTCCATCTTTAGCCCAGTTACCATGGATGCAGTTAAAGGTCATAGTGGCAGCTGCTAACTAGTTGCCTTTTTAGCTGTATTTCCCCTCCTGCTGCATGTTTTTGTGTACCTTAGTTTCTGCAGGTCTGCCTTAGAGCAATTCCACTTCCTTAACTTGGCATATGGGTGTCTTCCTCAACATGATGGGTGCATTGCCATAAACATGGTTGCTGCTGTCATCCCTTTATTGAATTTTTTGTGTTTTAATGGAAAATCACTGTAAAGACCTTAACAAAAAAATGGAAATGCAGCCTGCTCAGCATCCCAAATTATTTCTATTCTCTGCACTCTGCTTCACGTTCCTATCTTGGGGGAGAAAAAAAAAAAAAAAAAGAAGAAAAATCCCTCCCTGTATATAGTGAATTCCCATGTCCATTTAAACTCATAATGGGCTAAGGAACTGAGGCATTCACAGTGTGGAACATCAACTACTACTTCTCAATTTGCCCCAAAGTCCTAGGAGTTAATTCCCTGTACTGCATGAAGTGTCAGAGTAATTACCGCTGATCAGCCCTATTTCTTAGCATTCTGTCCTGCTTTGAGAGGCACCCTGTTTATAGATGCACCGCCACATCATCACAGTGCTTTCATTCAGGCAAGCTGCTTAATCGAAAGGGCTTGGACAATGCAGGATTTTTAAAGAGAAGGAGTGGAAAAAAATTAAAAGTAGCCAAGTAAAATAAAGATAATGGTAAAGAAATCTGTAAGCTCTACAAAATATTTCCGTATGTCAACACTTAGTTTCAATAGATTTTAAAACTCTTATTTATTTCCAAAAGAAGGTACTGTGAGTCTTTTCCGTAGTGACTCAACTACATGATCACGCCCTATTTGAAGATTTTTAGGAGCACAGTACTGGACGCCCTCCTTGAGGAATGCTTATTGGTTTTTGTTCTGTTTATATATAGGCTATGACTCTGACAACCTTTCTGAACCACAATACAAAGAAACTTTTTTTAAGTTTATGCCTTTCTGCTTTAAAGATACATTTATATAACTTGTCATTTCACAAAAATAAATTAAGTACTATACGAGCCAAATGTTTCAGTTCCACACAAGGGTGGCTTCTGGTTCTCATTGGCAGGATGCCACTTTATTCATTTTTATTTCAAACACAATGTGAAACTTTTAATTCTAATATAGTATATAAGTGTGATGGCTATAAAGCCTACACTGTGACTAATTCATGCTCCTCTTCTCCTTGCACTCCTGTGAATTTTAGAGGGTGGCAGAAAGTTACACTGAATTCATTTCCACTTAAATACTATCAGGCTTTGTGTGTTTGTTAGGGGGAGAAGAGATTTATTTGGGCTGACATTTGTATTTAAGACTCAAGTGTTCTCCTTGATTAAGTCACTTTTGGGCATTGTTCTTGTAGATCTGTGGATACCCTGCCCATAGTGAAAGTAACTTTTTAGCCGAGTCTGTTTTGCCTCAAGAAGTGAAATAGATTGTCACATGGAAAAGGAAATAAACAGGTAATGACAAATACAAGTGTAAACAAACCAGTTATCTAATTGGTTGCTGAGATTCTTCTAATGACATCACCCCCCTCTATGGCATTGCTTCATTAAAAAATGATAATAAGTTTCCTAAGTTGTTCAGCAGTGTTATTGAAAATATCAGCATAAGATGGCTACAACTATTACAGTGGCCCATTTTACTGTTTTCTCCACCACACTTTTAATCAGAGAATTTCTTCTTGTGCCTTGTTTACTGTTGATATTTTCTGGCTGATTGGATAGGAATGACATTTTGACAATTTACTGTAGCAGTAAGCACTGTACAAACAAAAGGTGCTGATGAAAACTCGGAACCCATTATTATGTAAATTATGGCTGACTAACACAGATTCCATCTACCAGTCACCATCATTGAGACCAGTTTTACTCAATGATAATAATTTTCATGATTGCAGTCTTCAGAGAGATCAGAAATATGCTTTAGCTGTTGCATTTATCTACTGTGGGTACTTGACCCTTAATTAAATTCTGAAACTTTTTTATATAATAAAGTAAAATACAGCTGACACTTCCATTCAAACAAAGAGCATCAAACACAGATCTACCAAATAAGATAAAGGTATTTCAGACTTACCTTGTTGTAATGCTAGTAAACACGAAAACTACAACATCCTTTGAAAGAGAGCTTAAAGTTTAAAATGCCAAAAAAAAAAAAGCATGCCCTTGGGCAATTTAAATGTTGCACTTCAGTCCCGTGTCTGCTGAATGCTGGGCTTGCTCTGCAGAATGGTCTTGAACTTTATATTAAAATATGCATGACAGGAAAAAAAAAATAAATGAATGAGCTTTGAGTATACAGATGATGTTTGTCTGCTCCAGTATATTATTGAGGTCATAAATGAGAAATTGTTAGAAAATAAAGAAGTAAGAGGTTATTTAATGTTCCACACTAACTTTTGTAAGACAGTATTCTCCCAAATCTTGAAAAATACGTTTTGTAAAACTATTCCTCTTAAAAACAGACTAGGAACAACTCAAGGTGCTGCACTGCTGTGTTAGTGTTCTGCTACTAACAGATAAAAAAATGACTAAATATCATAAAAACAGATCAGTTAATTTGGTTTGTATTTATATATTTATATGTGTGAGTTCCATAAACAAGACCAGGGGAAAGGGATATACTGTACATAAAAGGAAGCTGGGCTTTTCATTTAATATTTTAATTTTTTAAGGCAGCTTTGCAAGCTGTTAGTACTCCTTTCCTCCCTCCTCCCCAGTCTCCTCACCAGTTTTTCAAATGTGAAGGTGGCCATTCCAGGTAAGATGTAAGAGTCAGGATTAAAAAGAGGTAGGGTATTATAAAAATTGAGATTCAGGATTTCTTGCAACATAGCACTTTCCTAAACTGTCAGTTCATAGAGCCAATGAGCTAAGAAAAGTAATTACTTAAGTGGATTTCATGAAGAGTAGAAAGATGATTGTGCCACATTAAATAACAATTGTATCCTTAATGATGTGTTGGACTATAATACAAACATCCTTCTGCCATTATATGCACTACAATATACCTTTCTAATTACTCCGGTGGCTTCCTCTTCCTTTATTAAGATGCTCTGCTTTCAGAGACTGTGTAAGCATTATATGAGCTGCTTTTTTTTCTCTAAACTACAGTGAGTGCAGCTGTGTGGTCATTGATAAATTGGTTATAAATTACTGACACTTTGTATATGAATGGAATAATTGTTTTATTCCTTTTCTTCATGAAATACAATTTTTCTTAGAAGAGATATAATGAAATTCAACAAAATTGCTTCTCTGGGGTTTTTTTGGTATTTCCATATATGTAACCGGATAATAAGGCAGATTCAAGACAAGACAGCAAATTTACTTAAGAAAGTAGAATAGGGTCTGCAGATTCAGGAAGGTTGAAAACCACTTCTCCATTTCATTGCTTATATTCTGTTCCTAAGAGGTGGAACTCTACACTCCCTAGCACTGCTTTCTATAAATCAGTATGATTTCTATGATTTCTAGAGTTACTTGTGCACTATCTGACCACTCATTAGACTTGAATTCCTAACATTCTGCCAGCACACAGTGCTTATATTTGGACCCAGTTAAAGTTTGCACATATGAATAGTCCCACCGAAGAAAAAGGAAACTTCTTTTATGTGGAAATTATCCCAAATGTATAAAGGGATTGAAGAACTGGGGGGTGGGGGGGTGGGGAATCATAAAATTAGACAATTCCAGATTCTCTGTCAGAGAGACTGATTTTTTACAACAGACATTTCCATGCATAAAGAAACTTGCATAAGTGAATAAAATAAAAAAAGCGATTAAAGTAAAACCTGCAAAATATTATTCTTCTCTGTTGTCTCTTAGTAGAAACACATTCTGTTAACTCATAACTCACACTCTTCTGCTACCTATTAATGCCATTAATAGCAATAATTTCATGAGCAGTCCACTCCAATTTTATGCATGTTGCACTGTGGCCCTGAGCTGGCTGGTCAAAATCACACCTTTGGAATTTTATCAGTAAAATTGGTTGAAACTTGTAAAAGTTCTTTATCACTGTTGAGTGACCTAAAGTCAGCTAACACCAAAGAGAAAAAATATTCCTGTTTTCAAAATCAGGTTTGACTGCTTTGAAACATGGTGATAATAGGAAAAATATGCCATAGTATGACCAAACTATTTCGTGGTTCTCATCAATATTATATTCCCTTTGTAAAACACTAGGACACATTAAGCAGGTAGTTTCACATCTGACTGTTCACACACTGTCAAACTAAGAAGCAATGATGTCCATGATTTAAAATAAAATTCAACTATAAAATTCATCTGCAATTAACACCATCACTTTCCTACAAGCAGCTTAGTAAGTATATATTTTCTCTTTCATCCCAAATCCTTACTGGTACAGTAAGAGCTCTGTGCTTGGATCGCATGTTAGGCAGAATTATGGGAATCTTTATAAACTCCCTGCTACACTGCTTGGTTAGCTAAATTCAAGATTAGTAAATGGTCCTTGGAAAGTAAGCAGAGTAGCCCCCTGTTACTGCATCTGAAGTATATATATATATATATATCTCCGTATATTCTGCACTCAGTCAAAAGAAGCCTGAGCCAAAAAAAAAAAAGTGTTGCCTGGTAAAACTGCAACTAAATGAAATTTTTCAACTGGGATGAGCAAGTAGCAACTGGGAATAATTTTTCATTCTTGCTTGTACTCCTTTGTCATCTGCAGAGTATCCACCACTCAGTACTCTCCAGAATTGGGCCTACCATGAGGTGACAAATTCTGTTGCTCTGCTTTCTGGGTTAGAAGGGTACACAGATCTGCTTTGTTCTGAACATTAGCACTTCTCTACTTGGATTTGCTTAAATCCAAGCAAATCATACCTTGAAAATTAAAATAAATTGTTGAAAATGTATTTTATGGCATTTTCCATATCTTTTAGTGAAATAAATACTAAGGAAAAAAAACTTGAAACTGGACAAAGATGGTTCAGGCACACTTTGTAAGTTATAATTGTCACATCCTATCACATATCTTTCTGCCTGGTGAAAGGACGGTGATCCAGTCTCTCTTTAAGTTTGGGAAAACTACTTTTCCCAAATTAATAGCTCATATATGTAAAACATATAAACGACATTTGTGACATTGACAATTCTGTTCAGTAAGAAACTTCCACTGTATTCAGGCACCTAAATGAAATTTTTCAGTCTTAGAAATCCTTGGTCAGATGATGCCTTGCTCCTTAGTGCCCAGACTCTTATGGGGACTTGATTTTCAAGAGGGTGTCTTATACTCCCTGTTGCCTGAAGCTTTTGTACCTAGAAATGCTTCTGTGTAAGTAAAAAATTAATTACTCAACTTTTTTTACTGGGTTAAAGAAGCAGCTTTGTCTTTCAGATGCTTTTCTTGTTATCCCCAGATCACTCAAAATAAGGTAAAGTTCACCTGATGTACTTTCAAAGCTTGTCATACAATTTGCTCTAGAACAGCATGAATAAAACTGACATTGAGAAATAATTTACTGAAACTGATCTATCTACTGTTGCTGGTTAAAAAGCGGATTGCTTACCGTGATGGCACTGAAGGTTGGAGGTCAGGATGTAGTTCCTGCGTGCTCAGCACCTGCCTTCTTCATGGGCCACAGAAATTTCTGCTCATTCCCATAATCTCAGAAGCTGGTCAGACCTACTGGGATGCAGTGCTGGTTTTACAAAGACCCAGGGTAACTCTGTGGTATAGACAGGCTTCTTGATGCCTGAAGGTCCTACATAACTCTAATGATGGGAGCCAGCCTTGATAGTCAACAAGTAGAACATCTTAGTGTAAGTGATCTAGCAATTTTTTTTCTGTTCATCTTTCAGATCAAAGACCTTGGAAGCACTGTACCACTTACCAGCTAGTTGTGGCAACAGTTCTTCCATATGGAAAAGTAACCTTATCAACATTATAAAGAGGAGAAACCAAGGCACAGGGACATAAAGATCACATGTCAAGGTGCTGTGGTGGTAGGAAGAGTGCCTATGTTTGAAATCTGCATCTGAAGCTCAAGTGCATTCTTCTCCCTCTGAAAAGGAGATTGCTATCCCATAGTCTGCAAGAAGTTTATGGTTAGGACAGAACATATCTTTCCAAATTTGCTTAAGCAGGGCACAACATTTAACATGGTATGCAGGTCTGCCTGCCCACACAGAGGGAAGGCTACACAGGAGCACCCATCTGAAAAGTGTCTGTGTTGAATCCCTTTGTTTACAAGCAAGCCAGTGTATTTTGTGTTGCTGTGCTTAGGTGTATGCAGCACCAGGTTGTGAAGGGTGCTCACAGAGGAAATGGCATAGAGCTGCAGCCTCACATGTGCTAGCATCACATGAGCTTTAAAAAGTAATGGAAGTACAAAACTGGACTTGTAGCAAGACTTTTCACCTCATTTTAACCAAAGTATCAGGAAGTTGGTTCTTCTAGCCCTTAAAGAGTGGTGTTGTCTGTTGTATGCCATTGCCTGCTTCTTAGTGCGGGTCCTGAAGGTGCTGCAGAGGTTTTGCATTCCACCTTCCAGTGAGCTGTACTTATGAACTGGAACTAAGATCAGAACTGGCAGCTAGGCTCATGCCAAATTGAAGTTTTATTTATTTGATCATTTCACTGCAAGGTAGACACTGTGTCTGTGGTTTGTATCTTTAAAATCAAATAAACTATTTATATTTGGTGAAGAACTGTAAAACACATAGACCTTATTCACTAATATTTTTATGGTTTCTTTAACACTTGACAAGTAAAGAATTTGTGAAAGTGTTTTTTGTACCCAGATCCCGCAGATTTCTTGGAGTATTTTTTAAATTAAGAAAAGGTATAATCTAGATTAGTTACATGACTTTAGCTCCCATTTTTCCCTAACATACAGCATGAACCCTTCTGAGTGAATTTTTAATACAATTTTTAAATGGAATATATTTGATGAAAGCTTGAGAAAATACCATCAACTTTTATCTATTTAACATTTTCGTGTTATTAAATGAGGATACCTCATGTGAATTTCAGGTCAGAGTGGAAATATAAATTACCTACAGTTTTCCTTCCCATCCTGATAATATTGTTTTGTTTACATCATCATGGAAAGTGTTATGCAAATTTTCTTGCTGCACCATATCCATTATACCTTAAAGAGAAAATGGTCTAATAAAAATTCTCAAAACAGCTATTACTTGTAGGAAAGGAAGCTCAAAGGTCTGTAGTCTTTCAAAATGTCATTGCTACTAACTCGAGCTTGATAGAGAAAGAAGTCAGAACTGCTCTTTCACAGACACAGATTGCTGTGAGCTCCACATGAAGCCAGCAAACCCGTGGAGAGGCTGCGGTTTGCAAGTGAGGTCTCGCCTGGAATTTTGGTCCTGTGGACAAGGGTTTCCTGGATGTTTTTGCCATTCCTGCTGGCAGTTTGTCAGGTTGCTCATGCACACACCTTTACAGCAACAACTCCTGCTGCACATGTTGCAGGACATATGGAAGGTCATTAGTGGTTTCAGTCTGCATTACTGTCATCCTAAAGTACAATCTTGCCATGCACTTTGCACTGCGAGGGCTAGGAAACCAGTATCTTTCGTAGTAATGACTTCCAGTTTACAGCCTTCATTTGTTATATTTCCTCAATAGCTGTTGTGTTGAGATTAACTGCATAAATGGTCTGCAGCTGGCTGTTATGAATTAAGGGAGTTTAATCAAAGTATTTCTAATGTACAGCATAATGATAATACATGGGGGAAGTACTATTTAAGAGATAATGATGGCTTCAGAAGATCACTGTTGTAATGTTTAGTGCATATGCCTTCAGCATTGAATTTGTTGTTGTTCTGAATATGCTTAATGGATCAGTGAAAAGCTGCCTAATGTGGGATTGTTTGATGGGGCTGACAGAGCTGGAATTAGCCCATTGCTGTTTACTGCATACAGCCATTAAGATTAATTGCTGCCAGATAATTTTGACTGTTTTTATCTTCGGGAAAAAGTGTCACTAATGGGTTTATAAATTGGTTCACTATTACTAATAGTAAGGCCAGTGT